ACCCCCAGAGGATGGGGGAGCGGCGGTTGGGTTCTCCCCCTGCCACACGTGCTCTACCCGTCTTCTGAATTCAAACAATTTCTTGAGGGTCTGTGCTCTTCAGGAGGAAGAAAGTAATATGGATTCATAATTTACAGCTCTATTTCATTTTCCTGCTCTTAGATTGGGATTAAAAGGCTGAGAAAGAATTCGTTGTTTGGACCCCTGGCTGCCCTGTCAGCCTTTTCTACTCCTTGCCACCAACAGTGCTGGCATTACACTTTATTGCATCTACAGTGATCAACTGCAATGCAATCAACACTGGTGAAGAGTTTTCCATAGCCTCTTTTACGATACACACTGGAATTGGCTGACCCACAAATGTGCTGGATTCCAGTCACAAGAAAGAGACCAAAGTCGCTAGCATCCTACTGGAAACCGGAGGAGAGACGGTGACCAGCCTGTTCTCATCCGTCCCTGCAGCTTTGAAGCCCCTGCACAGTCCCTGTAGGAGCCCCGTGTGTCAGTCTGACAAGAAATCAATAGCTGTCTTGAGTCTTTATAGGCTTCTGGTGTGCTCACCAGGTCCTTTCACATTTCTGAAAGTCCCAGTCATTTAACTGTTTTTTCAGCTTTTCAGTGACTCTGCTCTGTGATCCAGTGGATGCAAACAAAGATGTTGGGCTGTTATTTACAGTTAACTTTGGTGACAAATCCGTCACCCGAAATGCACGAATCGCTGGGAAATGGGGAAGAGAAGAGAAGACTATTCCCTACTTCCCATTTACAGCAGGTGACACATTTAAGGTAATTTTCTGGTACTATGATTAGGGGGGAGAAAAGGGGGGGAGAAAGGCTGAAGGCTATGTATACGACCACAGATAGCTAACTGTTGAAACTGAGAGGTTAACTAGTCTAGTATGGCACAGAGAGGAATGGTTCAAGCCCTGATGGGAGAGATCCACTCCCTTCTCTAGTCTTAGTGAGAGAACTCACTATAAGGAGTTTTACAGTATTGTCTCAGCAGAAAGTAGGCTATTTATTAGAGGCATTTCAGAGGAACCGGTAGACTTTGTGCTTCTTTATCCCTGTCACATGGGGTTCTAAGTCCATCCTGGTGAAAACAGCGCTGCTGCTTGTCTCTGACACCACCCCTTGTCCTTTTCCTTTGCAGATGGAACTCTTATGTGAACACCAGCAAATACGAGTCTTGCTTGATGGACGGCAGCTCTGTGACTTCACTCACCGCATTCAGCCCTTGAACTTGGTGAAAGCTTTGCAGATCACAGGGGACATCCAGCTTACCAAAGTGGCTTGAAAAAAAGGAGACTACAGTATCACCAGAGGACAGAGGCAAATGTACTTTCTCCTGTCTGAGAAACATTTTATCTTTTTCTCCTGGCTGATTCTGGAGAGTGGGATTGGTATCTTTTTCATTTGCTGATGTGTTTGAAACATACACTGTTTTTCCATACACACTCAGCGATTGCAGAGCTACAGTTTGTCCAGGTGAATCATATGGCCTTTGCTGAGATACTCTCTTGGCCTCCCAAACTGTGAGATTTGTGATGCTGTGCAGTGTCGCACATCCTCATGGGCCCCAAGCCCCCAGGCATGCCAGCTGGTAGAGGCCAGTCCTCTGCGGTGGGGTGGCTGCTACCCTTGTGACGGGACCTGGGCAGTGTGCAGGTGGTGAGACTGAGAAAAGAGAAGCAGAAGATTTCCTTGTAAGGGAACAAGGGAGTCTGGTGGGCCCCAGCAAGGCTCATGTTATCAGGAGGGAATTGCGTTTCCTGGAAGCTCTGCTCAGTCAGCACAAAGCTATTTGTGCTTTGAAGTGCAGAACAGTAAGTGCCTTACCACCATCCCTGTCTCTTGCAGGTGGCGTTCTTGTGAACGGAAAGGTTTCAACAGCTGTGGACTTCAGAGTCTTCTCTGGACCAGCCCTAGGAAATGGTATCTGTAGCTGAAATGGCATTGCTCGTTCTTGTATCTAATTAAAACTGTGTCTTTGCTGGCAAACTTTTTTACCAGCTTTGTTAAATATTTGAATGTGCAAGTGTTGTGCTATTATTTCATTGCTGTAGATTTAGAAAAAAGTCCTAAATACATGGCTATTCTAATACATATATAAGCATATATCACAGCTGCTGCTTTTGGCTTTGTTATGATTGGTTGGTTATAACACAGGATGAAGGGGAAAGTCTCTTGATGAAGAGACTATTTTTTCACTTCATAACTTGGAGAACAAAAAATCTGCAAAGAGATGGTTCTGTGGATAGAGGGCTGTGAAATTCCTCTGTGGCTTCAGGGAAGATACATAGCATGCTGTGTTCAGAGGGCTTTTAGAGGCTCTGCAGGGTTAGACTCTAAGATGCATGTGCTCAGATAACACGAGGAATTTTGTGAAAATAGTACATCAGCAGGCTGGTCGGGTGTTTTAATAATTTCATACATTCCATTCTACCTTCTGGTGTGTGGAGAATGTCTCCGTTTATAAATCTAAATTTACAGTGTATGAAACCATTATTTTCATGTACTCAAACTGTTCTCTGAGAAAAAGCATGTCTAAGGAGCACAGGAGATTCAAATGCACTGAACTATTTTTATATTTAATGATGTCAAAGTCAGGTTTACTAGACAAATAATGGAAAATTGAATGGCTTAAAATAGAAAAAGCAGTAGTCAGAACTGGTGTTAGAGTTCTCAGTCCCAGTGGTGCTCCATCAGGAGGAAAAGTCTTGCTTTTATGACTGAAGGATTTCTTCCAATATATTCAGCACCAGCAATTGTCTGGAATGACTGTCGCTGGTCTGATTCAGTACTCAGGATCTTGTACTGCTATGGGTCATTACCAGCACAAGAGTAATCTGTATACTGGAGAGGAGGATCCTTTGGTCTTTTCCAGCCTAACAGAGAACCAAATGGTAGAGCAGATGGGTGGACAAACAGACCCCTGGTTTGTTTCCTATTAGTGGTTATCCTGGCAGCTGTATTGTGGCTTAGCACAAGACTCACGCGATATACCAAGAAAGGCAGCCTCAGAAATCAGGACATTTCATGACTTTGAGTCAGTCAGTCTTAACTAATTAAGTTTATAAAGGGGAAAGGAGCAAGACATTTCTGCTTTAGGATAAAGCACAACCTGGATCTGTCAGATATAAACTGAATACTTGCACAATAGATTTCTTGTCTTCCATCTCAGAACATTCCATCTTCTTGTTTCTTTGTAAAGCCCCATCTGTATCCACCTGTTGCCTTTTATCTCTCAGTTAGATGGTAAATTCTTGGTGGGGAATTATTCTGGATCTGCATGGCTCCTAGGTACCTAGGATGCTGGTCTGCCAGGAATTGCTAGGTGCTATGGCGATACAAATAACAAAACCAGACTATCTATCTAAGGGAAAAAAAAAACACACTCCCAGACAATGAGAGCAGGAAACTTGGTCACAAATGTCATTTGGCATGGAGTCCACCTTACTCATGTCAGTGGTTTGATTGCTTCAATCCACTGTGCTCGCTCCGCCTTGGAGCTGGCCTGGATATAATAATGAATGTCGTTTTTGGTGATGATTTTGAAGAGGTTGCCTTGCACATTGCCCTTCACTCCTGCAGAGAAAAAAAAGTATGACAGATCAGGAAGGTGCACAGAGAAATACTTTGTGGCAGATATGAAGCTTCATAGAGAAGAATTGTAATTTAGTGAGTTAAGATATCAGACCTTTCCATTTCGTTATGGATAAGACATCTAAAGCTCTTGTGTCTTTGATTTCCCTTCCGCAAAATGAAGATATAGTACAGACACCCCTCACATAGACTGTGTGAACTACTGTGTACTATGCATCATATATAAAATAGCCACTGTTTAGCTGGAGAATCTTACTTGAGTTATACAATGGAGGGGTGAACTCCCTACTAGATTGTGTAGTAGATTAGATTTACTCCTGCCCGTCTTCAAGTTCCTCTTAGCAAGGAGCCCTGTGTTCACCATGGACACACCCCACCCTGGACCGTATCTTTGTTAGACCCTGTCTTTCATCTTTAGAAAGATGCTGCTTATTTGAGATCCACACATTGCGCTTATTGTCACAAAACAAATTGCTTTAACAGCAGAAACACTTATCTGTGAGGCAGAGGTTCTAGACAAATGCCCAAGCTAAGCATATTCACTAGCAGAACTGTTTTTTGTGTTGCTGTCTTTATGTCTCCCGTGCATTTGGGTGCTAGCAGATTAAAAAGGAAAAGGAAGTAGAATAAGTAGAGAGGACACACAGAAAAGGGATGGCATCAGGGTATGCCTCAAGACTTGCGTTTAAACAAAAGGGCTTTTGGGCTTTGAGCAACCTGGTCAAGTGGAAGGTGTTCCTGCCCACAGCAGGGGCTTGGAACAAGGTGATCTTTGACGTTCCTTCCAACCCAAACTATTCTATGATTCTATGAAACAAGATCCAAAAAGAAGGTGTTTTCTCTTTGTCTGTTAACTCTGGAACATTAATCAGTGTCTTAGGTCTGTCTCAGAGGTCGCCTGACTGAGAAAAGCCCATTAAAAGGGGAACACCCAAGATATGTGGAAATAACGCTAAGAAAAATCCCCTCTGGTATGGACAACCCAGCAGTACAGGGCTTTTTTATGACGTGCTTCTTCACTTTCTTGCAAGGGGAGAGGAAAGGCCAGCCCACTTGTTCATACAGCCAGCCACACACACAAACCCACACCCAAAGGCTGTATTGCTATGGTATAAATATGTATATGTGAAAGTTTAGAGGCTCATGCTTACCTGCTGGGACTCCATTGTCCTCCAGAGCTGAGACAAGACAGCCATGAAGAGAAAATCCACCTACTGGCCTGTTTTCTTCCTGCAAAGAAAATGACGCTTAGCTGGAAAATGTCATCATTAGAATAATTTCTGAGAGAATATAAATTATTTTATGAAGGTGGAGATGTAATGCCAGTCTTTCCAGATACAAAACATCCATGTCACAAGATAACTCAATTAGGACATGTGATTAAATGCATTACTATGTTGTTTCAGTCTCAGATGTTTCTCTGATGTAGTTGGGGATGGTGGAGATCGATTAAAAGCACAATGGTGGGCTAACAGTTACATTTCAAACTTTTGTATAGTCTTATCAGTAACAACCCATATTAAAAAAGACATATATATCTCTGCAAATTTTTAGCTTACTGCTTTTCACTGAGGCTGTATGGGAAAAATTTGACTGTTTTCACTAGTAGGCTGGCTGTCTTGTCTGATCTTCAGGTTCTGCAGTTTGAACTTCTAACAGTACAAGGGTGAGTTGCAATGCAAAAAAAACCCAGAAAGAAACAAGCAACAAAAAATGAACCAGCTCCACAAGCTCTTTTCGCTGTTATGTTTTTTGTGTTTTCTTTAAAAGTCACATAAAGCATTTCTATACATGTTGTTCTAGGAACCCGTTGGGCTTTGTGGCACACTATGCATCTGGGGCTGATGGATCCACATGCCTTTCTGGGTTGCTCACATTGATTATTATATCCATGGAGATAAATTCTACTATTCCCCGAGCAAGTTTAAAACTGAGTAGCAGAAATTCCTGTAAAGACTCTGGCATCAGGGAGACCCTATGCAATGCTGGCATAAGAACATAAAAAAATCCCAGTAGCAGTATGACCCTGAAGTAGTGGGATGTCAGTCCAGAAAGATCACAGTCCAGGAACCATCCCTGCAGGCGTGTGGTCCCAGACTGTATGGATACAGCAAAATACCAGTCCAGAGAAGGCTGCTGCCCCTTGGCTAAGGAAAAGGAATCTCACTGGGGGAAAGACAGGAGGGAAGGTGCAGGGAGAGAAGATCCTACAAGCACAACCTCCCACGGTAAGGCCAGAGAGGTCTTATTCCCCAGGAAATGGATAGAGGAACCCAGAAGGAGATGTGGACGAGAGAAACATTTACAGCATAATTATATTTTCATTATATTGTTTCAGTCTGTAAGAGGATTTCGGGGGGTAGTAGCTCCCCACTCACATACCTTAGTGGGGTCATAATAATGCAAAAAAGCAGGATCAGCTCTCAAAACAAATCTCCTCACCTTCCAGTTTTTCCTCTTGTGCCCCTGCAAAACAGAAGAATTAAGGTTACCACTAGTAAATACCTCCTGCAGTGGCCATTTTCCTGCAGGCTTTAGGGGAGACTTAAATAGGTACTGAAAAAAGAGGTTTTGGAGCCAACAGAGAAAGACGTTTTCTGAAATCATAGTAACTCCCAGGATTCTCTGCTTAACATCCTTCTTCATACATTGATAATTCCTTCCTCTCTCCCTTCCTCATGCTGAGAACCAAGAAAGCAGAGTGTCAGGACCAAGTGATTACATACCTGACTCCTGCTCTTGATTTCAGATTAAATACGGGTCTTGGATTGAAAACTCACGCTGTGTGTGCTCTGAGGGGATTACGTCAGGTCCTCTTGCAGCGGTTTGCTCTCTCCTCTCCAGCCCCCTCAGCTGCTGACGGCGCAGAGCAGCATGGCAACCCTGTGCCAGGTCCTGAGAGCATCCTCCAGCTCCTGGGGGTCTGGGGGCCAGCCTAGGTTCGGGGCTGCCCCTTACTGCTGCTGACCATGGGCATAGAGAGGCTCCTGGGCAGCTCTCACACCCTGTGGTGATGGGGGGGCTGCCCTGCCAGCCCTGCGGGGATCCCCCAGCAGCTCCTGGCACTCAGCATCCCACCAGCCCTCGCTGCGCCCTGGCAGCTGGAGGAGGGAGGGCGGGGGAGCGCCTGGTGATCTGGGTTGCAGTACATAATAGCAAGGGTCGGAAACTAAATCTTGCAAAGGTGGGATCCTGTCAGCAATTACTGTCAGGTAGTTGTGCCCAAAGAAAACAGGTCTCACCGCCACCAGGGCATCTATGTGTACGTGAGTGCTGTCCACAGGTAAGTGTCTGCTTCATACAGAAGTCCATCTACTCAGCTTTGAAATTTGTCTGTGGCCAGCAGGACGTTATAGCTGCTCACATGACCCTGATGGGATGGGTTAAACCAGAGGAACAGTGGGTCTGCTTGAAAGTGAATGTGACACCTCTGGTAGGACTTTGAGTCTGTGTGGGACTTTTGCTTTTGAGGCTGTTTTACACCTTTCAGTATACACACAATATATACAGAGTATCCAATTAATCCTGCCTGAGCAGCAAGTTCTGTAGCTCACTTTATAACTAGATACTCTTCACCACATGATCTCTGACAATAGTACTGGCAGGCAAGTTAGCTCTGCTGGCCACAACTCTCCAGGCATGCTCATATAAATCACATTTATTCTCTAGGAAGCACAAAGAGCTGTCATTTTTCTTTCCCAGTGAAGGTTCAAAGATCATATTTACCTGTTTCACTAAGAATCCTTGCTTCACAATTGTGCCGCTTAATTCAGAGATGTTAAATTGCAGGTCTTCCTTGGAACTGATATTTTTCTTACTGCTCTCAGCCTGTGAATAGGCAAAAGATGGTTCCACTTTTCCTTTTTAATCTGAACACACTTTTAAGTACAAATTTCTGCATTTTCCTTGAGCTGGTTTTAGCTCATATTTCCTGAGTAAATTCTGCTCTGTAGCCCTGCTACTCAGCTTTTAGGTTCGAGATTTACAAGCAACAAATTACAGCTGTAAAGCCTGCACGCGCACCGTGGCCTTGAGTTACAGCAGCATGGCCCCCGTTAGATGCAGGCACAGCGCTGCACTCCAGGGACACGGCCCTTTTAATCCCTAATCATCTCATTTGTAGATCCCCCTCTGTATCCAGGTAGCTATTGGTCTCCAGCAAAAGTGCAAGCACTAGCACTATTAAAAGCCTGGAGCTGCTCCTTCTGTGTTTACTTTCACAGCCTGCACATTTTGCCTTTGGTTGCACTGCGCATGTCCCCTTCACTGCCCCAAATCAAGTGAGGGGCAGAGGAGGTGCCTCCGTTGGCAGCTGCATCACTTACGAACATGTACAGTGCGGTGGAGTCGTCAAGGAACTGGTCGGAGAGGTCGCTGTAGCGTGTGGCCTCAGTGCTCCGGGCTCCCACCGGCTTGAAGAAGTTCTCCTCCATCAGCATGGATGCCAAGGTGATGGCCTCGAATCGTGACACAGCAAAGCTGTTGGAGATGAGCCAGTCCACCAGGGCAGAACCTGCAGGGAGAAAGGCAGCTCTCATACCAAGGCAATATGCTCTTCTGAGGTGAGACAAATGGTCACCTGCCACGCAGGTCTTCATTTGCTGAAACATTTTGGCACCATCACAAAGATGATCAGTGAAGTGCAAGGTTGATCAGAAGTGTGGGGTCCTACGTGCACTTCCATATATCGAAAAGCTAGAGAGAAAGTTGTTGGAGAGCTTGGCTGCACCACTGCTTTCCACTGGGCCACAAGTGACCCCACCATGAAGGCAGTATGGTAGGTCCCTTGTCTCTGCCGCGTGGTATGTTGGATGCGAGGAAGCCCTTTGTCAGCAGCAGGTGTACCTGTGAAGGTCTGTTTGTATCTGTTGCCTTGCTGCAAGTTGTGGGTCAGCTTAATTCCAGTACTGCTGTCGTACATTCTTTCCACTATGTGGCTGTAAAAGAGAACATAGGACAATGTTAGTAGAACAGAAAGACAGGCAGAAATTGCCACACACTTCTGTTGGTACCTGGGATGTCCTAAAGATTACCATCATAAAGATGGGAAGCAGCCTAGATACTACCCTACAAGTTTTCTCCTAGGCATGGTATAGGAAAACTTCAGTCTCCCAACAGCAGCACTAAACAGGATGCCTCACAAAGTGTCTTTCAATTTAAAGCACTTCAAACTGAGCCATAGTCCACCTCCGTTCATCTTCTCAAGAAAATCAAAATAATGTAATTTTTCTATTTCTTATTCAATTCTCTGTTTTGTCTTGTTTAACATGATGCACCCTAAAAATCCTAGCCTGGATTCCAGCTATCAGCTTCGAAAGCTCCCCAACACACCACGAACAACGTCGTGGCTCAGTCTTTCCCTGTCATCACATCTGCCAAGGTAATACATCTCTGCAGTGAGAACCTTTGCAGCTGACTAGAAGGTCTTCCAGCCAGCAGTGAGCTGCCCATACAGAACCCAGATATTCCCAAAAACTGATGGTCAGGAAGAAGTGCCTTCCTGTGCCCTGGCAAGAGTGTGTGCAAACCTGGCCAGAGCAGCCAGTTTAGAGGCTCCTGGCCACAAAGGAGCAGATATGTGCAGAGAGGAGCTTCCCTTGACCTTCCCCATCCATCAGGCCCTTTGCAAACTACAGCAATAGCCAAAGGGGAAACCATATACACTTACTGGAGGCTGATATTCTCCAGCAGCCTGAAAGAGTTCTTCTTTCTGTGAAGCTCCTGTACCTGTACTGGGTGACCAGCATGAATAGCTCCAGTGATGTCCAAAGCCCAAGAGTCTCGCTCCTCCCTGGAGCAACATTCAAGGAAATAGTCTGTGTTTGTTTTTGTCTTTAGTTTGATGAGTAGCTGTGGAGAAATAAGTGCAAAGCAATAACACAATTTAGCTATTGTCCTCCACTTGCATTTTGCTTCTTTCAGCACTGACCCAAGTGACACAAATAAGTCTGTTACGGCATTCCACCTGAGCAGGACAGAGCAATTCTGGGCCAGAAGGGTGGTGGGCACAACTTTGGGATTTTTATGGCTTCTTCCCCGCGCCAGTCCCTGGGTTTTCAGTTCCAAGTATGGTTTGCGTGCATGGAGCTTGTGGTACTTAAAAGCAAGCAGACCACCCAGATACTGGATTACAAAGGAGTGTGCTGCTGACTATGGAGCTTTTCACATCCAGATCTCTAGCTTCTCAACAACTACAAACTCTCACTATGCTCTTTCTGCCATGAGAAGCACTGAAATAGTCAGCAACTTCCAGAGTCACTTCCCTTGTGGTCCCACTCAGGGGAAGTCTGCATCGCTGCTGCCCGCGGGTGAGCGGAGGAGCGCGGGAGGCACTTTCCCTTCCAGAGCCCTCTTGCTGGGAACTTTCCACAGCAGTGAAGTCCCATCAGCAAAGGAAAAGGGAGTCTGACCTGGCTGTCCAGGAGCACCCCATGGACATAGCCAAGGTTTAAGGCAACTACTAGAGATGAGAAGTTTCCTTTTTTTCCCATCCTCCTCAGATTTTATTGAGCTGTTTGTGCCCTCCCTCCACACACTGTCGGGTTGATGTATTTGCATTTATTCTTCCCATTGTGTGTGGGGGTGTGTTGTGTTGGGTTTTTTTTTTTGTTAATGGCCTTGACTCAGATTTGGGCACAGGGAGCAGCAAAGACACAATGAGGGAGTCCATTGCTTGTCCCGGTTACATTGCTGATGGCAGCTTGCTTTTGGCTGGGCCTAATTCTGGAAACACCCCAGTGACATGGCCACAGTAATCAAAGTCAGGAGGAGAGGAAAAAACTAGGGACGCATTAGAAAGTGAGTGTCATTGAGAAGGGACACATTTTTCCAGTCGTACCGGTCTGTTCTCATATTCCAGGCATGGACAAGTAATAGTGCAGCCATCCAAAAGGATCCTGCCCTTCGGAGAAGGCTCCTTCTTGCCTCCTTCAATTTTGTAATACAGCAGCTTATCCTGAAGCAAAACGAACCATCTCACTTTCCAGTTACGAACAACATGGCCCTAGAGGGGAAGAAATCCACATAGCTGACTTAGCCACAAGCATTGAGACATGACTGTATTTTTTTCCCTTTTTTGGGGGGGTGTGAAAATATCATAAACTAATAGGAAACTGTATGAAACTGTATGAAAATAAACATTTCAGGAGTCCTGTTCTCCCTGAAATATCCATTTTTAGTAACAAAATAGGACAGCTCTATCACTACAAAATCATGGAGAAATAGAAAGGTGCTGCACTTTTTCTCCAGCAAGGACAACTTATTTGCTGGCAAGAATTGTTTCTTGCAAATTCTCACATGAGTTATCTCAAAAAGCCGTCGTACAGGTGCACACCGGCCCACAGACAGCACCAGGCAGGAACAGGGCTAAATCCGAGACGTGCGAGAGCTCTTGGAGACAAACCCCTCCTCCCCAGTGACCCTGGGCGGTGGCCGATATGTTTCATTCTCTGTCATTTTGATGTGGCTGTAGGTGCCAAGCGGTTTTGAAAGCGCTTTGCCGGGTGACCTGGCTTTTGCTTAGATCCCTTCTTACTGCTAATGAGTGGTTTATTTCTAGCCTACCCGCCTCCAGTCTTCTAGGCTAACACATTCCCTGTGCTGCTGATTCCTGTAAAGGGAATAATACACTTTTTAATGGCAAAAGACCGACTGAAGGCTGCTGTCGAATGCTTCCTGGGTTATACCAGCATACAAAGAAATCCTCTTCCCCTCTGTGAGCAGCCCCTGGCTGCCTTCAGCCCAGCCGCAGAGGAGAGCAAACCGAGGGAGGGCTGGCACCGACAGGCTCAGTCCTGTCTGAGGGTGTCAGGTCCAGCTTTGCCGTGCGGGGAGCAGACTTGCATTTCTATAGGCGACAGAGCATTACAGCCAGCAGGCGAGGCACCGACACCTGACAGAGGGCGCGCATAGCTAGAAGAAAGGAGCATGCAAGGTCCAGTTGGGGCAGGAATCAAAGCTCATTAATCCTCTATGAGTAAAGGGGAAAACCAGCAATTTCCAAGAAAAGGTGGGGTCATGAGTTTCTAAAATCCAGGGCACTTCAGAGCTAACGTCTTCTAGTGTATATTAAACACAATTTAACTAACTTGGGTTTGTTCTCTCCTTCGCTTTGCCTTCTTCGGTGTTTTTTTTTCACCTGTTGTGAAGTCCCTTGGCTATTTTTCCTAAGAGTGTACTCTTTGATATGGCTCTTTTCTTTCCTTCTTGGAGATTTCCTTTTTCAGGAGGCTGCCTTGCCTTTTTTTCTTTATCTTTACCTGACTTTCACACATTTACTTCATATTTAGAACACATTATAATACATAATTCAGTCATTTATAATGCATTTAGATTATCTCCTTGTTTCTGCTCTGTCTTAAGAAATCCTTAATTGATCCCACCCCTCCCTCATTTTTTTTATCTGGATCCTTTGTTCCCTTCTCCGCTGTTTCCTTTAGTCACCTTTATCGCCTCCTTCCTATCAAACTGTATATCTCGGTGGTGCTGTACAGACTGCTGACAGTTACAGCTCAGCATGCTGCCGACAACATATCCCTCTCACAGACACAGTGCCTTGGCTTCCCACCTTGAATTCAGTAGCTGTGAAAGAGCCACAAAACACAACCACAGCCCAGAAAGGAGAGCAGGAGCTGGGACTGCTCTGCCCTCGCTGCAGAAAGGAGGTTGAGGAGCAGCTGGAGCCATGCAGCCCTTCTCTTGCTGGCTGGCCAGGAGCCCTGCCAGGAGAGCTTATGACCAGGATTACCTTCATGTCAGCACCAGAAGCGCTGACACGTACTGTAGAAAAGCATTTCCGAAGGTGTGGCAAATCTTTGAATCACATTTTTTTGTGCAGTCAAGGATCATATTAGACATTGAGATGGGGTCTTAGCACTAAAAGCAGCTTACGCCCCTTGCCAAGAGGCCCAGCTATGACTGACTTGGTCCTTTAGGGAGAAGTGTTGGACGGGCTGAAATCTGTGTCACCATCTTTCAGCTCTTTTCTCCACATTTTGGCTAAAGTTTTCTCATAGGGCAGCCTGAGGGCTGTGGAAGAAAGAAGTTATTTCAAACATTTCTACATTGCTCTGATCCTCTTCAGAAATGATAGTCTGTTCTCCAGCCTCCCACATGAAATGGGAAACCCTGCTCAGCTGGGTTGCTAAAGAGGGCACAAACTATCTTAAGAGACCGTCAAAACATCTCCCCTCTCTCCATCCTCCCACAGCTGCTTCCACTGCTGCCATGTAGCCATTTGCTACGCCGTTTTTGATGTCTTTGCAGAGGTGTGCCCTAGGTGCAGGCATACCGGCTTTCTGATACCTAACTGAGTAATCTCGATAGCTAATTCACTTTCCTCTGAGTAAACGTCAATACAGGGAAACTCGAGGGAGGGTAGTGAGCACCTCTGGTTCACGCAGCTCCCCCGGCAGATGCCCGCACAGACCTGGAGGAGCTGCTTTACCAGGAGCAGGCGGGAGCCCCTCAAACCCAGCGCCCATGGGGCTGCCTTGCCGGGAGCCCTGGCTCGATCCGGTTGCTGCTCAGGGGCTACTGCCATGTTTGAGCAGGAGCGCGCGAAGGGGAACCAGAGCACTCACCCGCTTGACGAGGAAGCCCTCCTTCAGAACTCCAGCCGCCTCCTGCATCACCGCCAGCCAGGAAGGGAGCCGAGCTCCTGCCGAGAAGCGCCTGAGCCCCAGCAGCCTGTCCCTCTGCGTGCGACTTGTTTAAGAAAGTTCATTTTTCTTTGCTACCCTCCTCCTCTAACGTGACGCAATCTCCCTCCCTTCCTACCTATGAGACATTAGTTAAGCAGTGAGCTAGTTCTGATATATTACCTGCCCTCCGGCGAGTAAAACAAAGGGAAGTCTAAAAAGGGTCTTAAAAGAATTTCACTACGCAAAAAACACCGCTGAGTGAACCGGCCAATACAAGCAGCCACACGATGACAAACCAGGTATTGCACGGGAGCAAAAACCAGAATTATAAAATTGCGTCCCTCAAAACTTCGGACTAATCAACTCTACCACTTAAAATTTCTCGTCTAATAAACATATCTACAGATCAGAACACCTTAAGCGTAACATACAGAATATTATGATTACAAGGAGACTTCTACAAACCTTAAAATAATTTCTTTTGCTAGGGATTTATTTTACTGAAGAAGCCCCAAAGCACCTAAAAGCCCTCTTCTTTCAGTGACCTCTGGGCATATAAGCCAAGATTCTCGACTTAATATCCAAAACCCCTACATAAGCAACTATCCCGGCTTTTAGTAAAGCAGTCTGATCAATGAACACTGTGCAGTGACCTCTCGTCACTCCCAAGCACCGCCGAAAGAGTGCCTTTTTCATGTCCAAATATGAGCCTACATGTTTATTGCATTTTTGAAGACTTTGGCCATGATCAATCTGTTTAATAGATTTATCAAACCTTGTCTTGATGAAATAAACTGGTGTATTTCAGACAGCGCTGCTGTTCAGAAGTAATAGCCTTTGCTGTACTGTTAGCATTCCCTGACTTGTACCAAAATCAAGGTGAGATATGTGGGCAGAGCTAGAGGCTGTGATAAGAAACTTGACATACAGTACAGCAAATCAACAAAAGCACTCGTTGCTATGTAAAAATAGTCCAGAGTTCAGTAAGACAAAGTGACTCAAGTATATCTCAGTCTTTGCACACCGGATCAGATTACTGGTCACACTTTCATGTACCGAGGAAAAGGAACAAACAAGTAATTTCTTTATCTTGATACTATTTTTTATAACTTTTAACAAGGAAGAGCAAGACATCAAAGAATTCAAACCTGATAATGTACTGGAAACAACCCAGAGAACAGACCTGCAGAGAAATACAATGGGGGACCAAACGCTACTTGAAGTGAGAAAAATGGATTGCTGTAAAAAAAAAAGCATGCTGGCTGAGATTTCAAACACAGCTGGCCCACATGGAAGTTACCTGCGTAGCTCCTACTGTACTCCCTTCGCCACTTTGGAAAAGGCAGGCAGCCACGAGGGACGCAGCTGCGCAAGTCATATTCCAGTTATGTTTGTTCTTCAGTCCACCTAAAGTGAACATGGTAAGTTTAACAGAACACCCAGAAGGTTATTTTTTGCTGTAGTTATGTAGTATTTACAAAGATATCAATGGAAATTTTTGTAAAGTTTTTATGTTATTGTGACCTTATAATAAAGCAGAAATGAACTGAGTGTATTTCTTTTAATTTAAAAAATAATCTCCATCTCTGTATACGTGCAAATATATAGATAAGTTGTACTCAGAAGCAGACCCGTGGGAAAAAACCCTGATACATTCAGCAGAAAAAAAGAAAATAAAATTCAGCTCACAATGTTCTGTACATCAGAAATAAACTTGAGAAAAAAAGAAAAAAAACATGAGCCTAGGTACACAGGAGACACTACTGCTGCACTGGTTTCCTGGACATGTACTCTTTATATAACCAGCTCCAGGAATACAGTGTTCCACCGTTTGGTATTTGAGGCTTGACCTCACATTGTTCCGCTTGTTACTGCAGGCAATTTATAACAAGGTGGGTGAGATAATTCCATGCTAGTGAGAACAGGTAGGAGCTTGCAGGGGGCTCCCGCTCAGACAGCGATCTCAGAATTGCACCATAACCAGTCCTCACTGAAGACGTGAGCGAGCTCTTTTCCTCCAGCATGCAGACCACCCACAACCCTGCAGACAGATCTTGGCAACATTACCATTAGCAACGAAGAATTTTGTCAAACTGCTAGTGAATGGAGAAGCAGAAGTTGCTGTAGCTGGTCATTAAACATCAGGTTTTGTATCAAATAGTTTTTATAATCTTGAGGCTTCACTTTCTTCAGTACTTTAATTTCTTCAATATTTTGGATATTTATAATACACACACCCTCCTCCTCCCGTCTCATTCTGTGTTTAAGCAAGGCTAACAAACTGCCCTATACTGCTCCCGGAGGCTGAGTACATACAGTTGCTGGGGCGGCTTTGTGGGAAGAGGGTCATGTCGTGTAAAATGAGTCAGTAGATCCGGGCTGCCGTATCCATGCAGGTGCTGGGAAGGCAAGCTCTGGCACTGAAGTCTCCCTGCAGAACAGGGATGTGCTTCGACCCGTATGAATCCAGAGAGCTCCAGAAAACTCCATCAATTCTTTCTGTGGGACTCGAAACTCACTGAAAGGACTGTTTCCTCAGACCCATTTTATAGTCCTGTTTTCCCCACGTCAGCATAGTATTTGAACAAAAAAACCACATCTGAGTGCTTGACATTCTTCCATTCAAGGTGACCCCAAAACACTTCACACACTGTAGACTGTGCATTGGGATGGCCCAGACAAGCCAGCTGCAGGCTTCAGAACCACAGGACGCTACTCAGGCTTACAGGGGAGGGCAGGAGCAGCCGGCTCTGCGCACAGGCTGCGCTGTTTCAGCTGGCCGACCTGGCAGACGTCGCCGGTACCTCCAGGTCAGCCCCTCAAGCAGCCACAGACAGCTGATTAAGAGAATCGGCCCAGAGGACAAGCCCCGTTGCATGCTCTGCAATGCCCGTCGCGTATCGTCACGCGAACAGCGCCATGCGGGGGATTTTTCAAAGCAGCTTTGTAAGATGCTAGGACTGCTCTCTGGTGTAGGACACCATTATGTATTTAGTTCCTTTAGTGGATTAGGGATGCAATAAAATGAAAACAAACCACATAAAAATAAAAGATGATTAAACATTTCCAGATAAAAGTGAAAGATGACAAGTGTTCAAAAGTATTCTGACATAAGACCATTTTTAAAATTAACTGCGGAAAGGTGGCACTGTTTGAAAACAGTTGTTTCATTGTCTAGACTCTGGAACAAAAGCCTGTCAGAAATCAAACTCCAAAGCACAGACTCTGCTATGAAGAACAACATGCCGGTTCCACTACAATTAAAAAAAACTCCCGAGAGTCAGAATCAGAGAGAAAACCGCAAGGAATTGTCCCTGTATTAAAACCCAAACAAACCACAACAGCCCCAAGAATGCAAGGCAGCCCTTCTTCAGCAGCCACCGTTTCCCCTCACAGGAATAGGACACTGGGCTGTGTGTCTGACCTGAGCTGGGACCCCTGCTTGGGGTTTCTTTGTATTTAAGAGTCCTTACTAGATGCGATAAGTAAAACTGTTTCCAAACTGCCAATCTTACAAAATTAATCTGGGATAGGAAAGTCAAGCTGAGATCCTTGCAATTAACACACAGGGCCAAGCCCCGCCCATAGGTACACCGTGCCTTTCCCTCCAGGGGACTGCGTGGGTGCAAGGGGAGATCTTGGCCTTGCAGCCACAACAAAGCGAACACAACGGTCGCTAGCGAACAGCGGGAATACGCCACCTCGCTTCAGCGACTCAACAAAGACGTTCACACAAAACCCACGACCCTTATTTTAAGCACTTGGTAAGCAAACACAGCTCCACCCACACAAAATAGACCGGCTGAGACGGAAGGTACCACGTCAGCAGCTTCCCGGGATCCCTAAGCCACAGGCTGCAGCAGCCAAGGCAGCACAACCAAGGCCCAGCGTGGGCTTCGCATGAGTCTCACCAACAGGTCTCAAGAGTGGCTGTCTTAGACCTCCTCCTTCCAGCTACTGCAACATGCCAGAAATAACCACTAAGTTGTCTTGTATCTTTCATTTCAGCTACTTGGTTAAAATTTGCTGCAGCAACAGGAGAGCCTGGTTTTATCTGCCAGTGTAATAAGTGATTGAAATGCGTGTATCTTAAGCTGCTTCATTACCGCCCTCACCTTCTCAGCCATTTTCTTTTTCCAGGCACTCCGCATTGTCACGAAATTGTGTACACCAGCACACCGAGGCTCTAATTAGAAAAGCTCCTGTAGTTACTGAACAGGTTTAGCAAACTTAGTTGCCTAAGTTACTGACAGAAACAATGCCTACCTATTAACACACAAAACCAGTTCTTACAGAGGATACTAATCGGCACCCCCGACACATTCCAAGAAAAGAGTACGGGTGGCTCTTTTTTCAGTGCTTTGCATTACACCATTATTTTGGCATACAGGTCCCACAGTGACTTAGTTTATAAACACTTTTGTCTGAGTACCCACCTATTGTGTTTAATGGAAGCCAAATCACTATTTTAGAGAACGGGCGAAACTGGAAGAGCTGTTCAAACACAAAACTCACATAAGCACAACATCAAGCCATGACAAGGCTGCCACATGCTGCTTCTGGAAAGAAAACAAATTCAGAAAATAACCATAAAAAAAAAAAAAAGAGATTTGTTTCTTCATTTTGTGATGACACATTCAGGTATTTTCCAACATTCTGCAAAGACTGGAAGTTAACTTTTTGGCTTTGCATTACTGTTAGAGTTGGGTACATGTGAACTTCATTGATCATCAAGCACGGACTGCAATACGTATGCCCTCTGCGAAGGCCTTTTGTGGCAACACCACCTAGCAAAGATACTGTTTGTACTGTGGCAGTATTAAGAATTCCTAGGTAAGGCTCAAAGCCTCATTTTTTTTCCCTAGCAGCACAAAATCTTAAGGAAAAAATGGAGATGGGCAATACAGGACATGACAATAAAAAAAAAGGATATAAATATGTTTAAGAATTTAGCCATCTGGAAGGTTTTTCAACAAAAAGAACTGCTCCCCCCCAGTTCCCACACACAAGTAAAACAGGACTTCTCTTTTTTTTATACTCCATCGTGGAAAGCACATGTTGTTTCACTTCTTCAGAGAACATAAACAGCTTGTTTCTACAGTGAATAGCTCAGCCCAGTGTAAACCTACTTCAGGGTAGGCAGAATTGGAAGTCACGCAGCAATGAGCTCAGAGATGTCTACTTTGAAGTATGAATAAGTTCATTAAAGCACCTGCTATATTCACCTATAGGAGCAACGTGCAACTGTATGTAATTTTTCATTTATCAGCTATGTTTATTGGAATGGTAACAAGCTATGCTCAAAGTTTTCAAGTTCTCTGTCCCAGAACGCAGATGAAAAATGATGATGCTCTTTTAAACAAGCCTGCATCCACAAACTTGCAAGAAAAACATTTTGTTCCACTCCTTCCCAGCTCGATTTAAAGCAAACAAAAGAAAGCCCTCTCAGTGTTAAAGGGGAGTCACCCACTGAGCATACCCTTCCAGGTTTTACACTCACACCACTCCAGGCCACGTGACAAAAGAGAAAATAAAATCTTGGAATTACATAGCCCAGAAATTTATTGAATATTTGCTCAAATACATTCTGTATAGAACTGCTCAGCCTGCTTGGTTTTGGTGCTCCCAGGAAAGATCATTAACAGAAGCACTGAGCTGTAATTACCAATCAGGAATTGTTATGTATGAGAATGTTAAGCATGGAGCTGCAACCTCCCTCTGGCCAGATCTGTGTCTTGAATTTGACTAGGCACCTCCCCTTCAAAGGATTCAATTTGTGTAAGCTGCTGCACCAAATGTTATGTAGAAGAGCCTTTCACATATTGGTCTTTTGAAAACAGTAAAACACTTCAAGTATTTGCATTTGAAGTTTTCAATACTGAAAACATTTAGCCCAGAGTGTTTGCAGTGGGGTCTCTAATTTTTCATACGGTCTGTCTCTTCTAAATATCCCAGAATATTTAGTCTTCAGTTTTGGCTTCCATTTCCTCGGCATCATCATCCCCATCCACTTCAGCATTTTCCCTCTCCAGTCTTTCCAACTGCCTTGCAAGCTCAGTCTCATCTGTGTCAGTAACCACCTTAGGCTGAAAAACAAAAAAATCCAAAACAGAACACATATTAAAATGTCATTAAGAAAGACCATACATATTTGTAGGCTTTGATTCTACCTAAAAGCAAGAAATAAAATACATCCTGAAGTCACAATCAAAAAAAGGAAAATTAGAATTTTTGGTCATTTGTTTAAGGAATGCAGAAGTTTAGGGGTTTTTTAGTTTCTTAATAGCGTTTTGCTAAAATATCTCCTAGCACTACTGATCTTGCTCTACTTTACAAATGTTGTGAGGAAAAAATAAAATCCATTTTAGAACGTAATGTATTCTTACCTCCATCTGCACATTAAAGACTCCTCTCTTCTCCTCAATTTTTTCTTTAATTACAGCCATGGCTTGATTTAGAACAGACAGTCCTTCAGTTCTCTCCAGTGTCGTAGTAGTCATCACATAACGAGGAGGAGCTATCAGATTAATCTATCACATTGTAAGGAAAACAAAGAAAGAAAAATCTCAAAAGCAAACATGAGCAATGCTGCGCTGAATGTACAATTCACAGAAGAAACATTTTCTCAATAGAAAAACCCTTTCTACAAGTATAAACAACTTAGAAATAGCAGACAAGAAAGTGCACAGGCTGTCCAATTTCCAACATCAACATCAGTTATTGTTACATAGTATGTTTACTTAGACAAATATTGTTAAGTGGCAAGACTATCCACTTTGCATATCAGTGAAACAGCCTATCACATAATTTTTCAAACAATTAAAAGACTGTGACAACCAGTAAGTTGTTTTTTTGAGTTGGTGGTTTCTTGTTTGTGTTGTTGTTTTTTTTTTAAGATAAGTAAACTTTTCTTACAAGAAACCATTTTAAGAAACCAGAAGGAAGTACTTCCAAGATTTTTTGATAACACTTATTCAGTAACACACTCCATATCCTAAAATTGATGGAGAAGAAAAACTGGGCCTGGGTACAGTAGGCCTTCTACCAACACTCCAACATATGTGGACCAAACATCCACATTCCTTTTCTTACACAATCTTACATCCGAAAATAAAATTTGTTGCTCCCTACCTAAAATAAATATAAAGCAGCAGTATGTAGTGTGCCAATACCAGACTTTAATACATTGAACAGAATAAATACAGCTTCTTGAACTTGGGAAGCCACAGCACAGTCACAGGAACAACTATCAGCACGTAGCTGAAAGGAAGTGTGTTATGTACCTGCTAGAGAAGAGTCAAAAAGCACATACATGGCATCCCAGCCTCAGCTATGTGATGGTGACAGTTGCAATTGCATGCTACTGGTACCTGAGGGCATAAGAAAACCTTGCTTTTGATTTCACTGTTCCGACAGGCACTTACTTTAATGGGCATGTTCTCCGTGGAACAGTTCAAGCCTGCTCTCAAAGCTTCTTTTACTGCATCTATGCCTTCATAACCATAACAGGCCACCTCAATATCTAGGACAGAGGAATACAAATAATAAAACTTAAAGTTGTGAAAAACTGTAGAACCTTTAGAATGTTCAAAGTTAAGCATTAATAAAGCTTTTTAGCAACCACTATTTATCCACAATGAGAGCCTCAGTAGCTCCCAAAGCTGAGGAAGGTATTTCACTTTCTTGACTTGTAAGTTGAGGTAAAAGTGTTCATAAATTCTTCAGAGGTACAAAATTTTACATTGTGCTTTGAAAAGCGAAGATAAGAAATTACATTCACATCCACCCACCTCTCACCCCATAAATTCAATGGGAATAATTATGTATTTCACACGGAGAGATGAAGATATAAAAGCAGTAAACACCAGAGAAAATGAAAGATCTATGAGAAAAACGTGAAACTTAAAAAAGAGCACATCCACGAATTCATGGAATTATGCCAGCAATTCAACAGAGGGATCACCTGAGGAGCATGGGGATTTTTTTTTTCCAAGGTAAGTTATACTAACATATAGTTAAAATGACAGTTAGCTATAGCCTTTTGTAGATGTTTGGTAATTAAGACATACACTAATGGTGGTCATATCTTTAATAGCCAGATTAGTCTAAAGACAAGGATTTCTCCACCTATGTAGCAATGGTGCAAGCTTAAGCTACACAGAGAAGTTAGTCTTACTTCCAGGTGACTCAACAACAACCTATTAATTCTCAGCTATCACAAACAAATTCAGAGAAGAGCATTCCAGTCAGCCTCAAGATGAGGCTACAAGCCAATGGAAAGTTTCTAAGGTTGCTTTAAAGACAAAATTGAAAACTACTTAGGCCATCAGAACAAAATAGGCAAGATGAAGGCAGTAAGAAAACACGCTTCTCAAGTAACTATTTTAAAAACTGATGAAGTGTTTGTTATTCACATTAGCAATTTCATTCTTCATGGCAATCAAATCCTACTTACATTTTTGAAGTCTATGTTAACTCACGGTGATCTAAAGTAATAGGTATAGGAATTTTTCATTACCTTAGTTTTCACACTCTCTTCTTGACTTCACTGTCATGTGGATATGGCTTATCTTTTCTCCTCTCTACAGTAATCAACCAGTGCTAATGCTCTTCAGTATATCCTTGCTGAGCAGAAGCAATTTCTCCATATAGTTAAACATGTGACTCTGCTACACTGACTATCTGTTTAATGGCAAGCATGCTTTTAAGCTGTTTGGTTAGCTGTACAAGCAGATTTACAGTTTTAAAGTATTCCTTCTTAAGCAGTGCAGTCATGTGCTTTTTCTGCCTGTACTGAGCTAATAAGAGACAAACCAGCTCACACGCTTTATGGATG